TGCGTATCATATAGTGTCTAATTCCCCGGGATTTTTTTATTTTATTTTTTTATCTTTATGCTATATAGGTTGCCCGCCGGCGTCCCCTATCATCTACTCTGCTTACTTCGGCCGACGGCCGCTCGGTGGTCGAGTGGCTGCCGGATCGAGTCTGCAGCGTTGACCCTTATAATTTTTTTCACCTCAAGCGGGCCCAATTTTGCTCGAGGTGTCTCCTACGATTCGAACCAGCGTTCTCAGGCAGACGCCTGGTGCGTTGTCCGTTTTCGTCACGGGGGCGAGCGCCCGCTGAATGAACCTGACCGTGCCTTACCCCCACCTAATTTTGACAAGGCCGCGGTGTCTGCAGCGCTCACCCCCATCAATGCATTCTCTGAGATTGACACCGACGACGATGGATTCGTGACGCCCGACGAGCTCAAGGCTGTGCTAGTGGGGAAATGCGGCCTGAGCGAAAGTCAGGTGGACGACATCTATGCCTCGGCCGATAAGAATGAGGACGGAACGCTTTCGATGCTCGAGTTTGCAAAGGGCGTGAGGCAATCGGCCTACGCGGCGCCGGCATTAGAGGAGGGGAAACCCGCTCTGAGGCTTACGGCAATCGATGCATTTGCAGCGGCGGACGCGGACGGCTCAGGTACTCTTACCAAGGAGGAGCTGACGAATGCGATGAAGGCCAAGACGGACATGAGCGAGGCTGAGATAGAGGCATTCTTTGCGGAGTGTGACGTCAATGAGGATGGCATGCTCACGATGATAGAGGCGGCAAAGGGCTTCAAGAAGGTGATGAAGGCGGGCAAGCTTGGCTCCCTTGCGTCATCTGGGTGACGCTCGTTGGCTAGTTCCAATTCACTCTGACACGCTAAACTTGAAAACGTCCAACGGAGCTCCGTGTTGCTCCCAGCGCCATCCCCCGCGCTCCCTGCGGCCATGGCTGATGATCCTAGTATGAGAGGTCATCTGGCTACCGCGAGAGCGACCCAACTCGTCGACATCGTCCGATGATGGTGCCGCAAAGTCAGCCTTCGGAGGCTATCGTGGGGTCGAGCCGGCAGTAGCCGTGACATGTGGTTCCACCACCCCTCGTAAGCTTTGCCTCTGACCGCCACCGTTCCCAGGCTGCCTAATGGGATGGAAAGGAAGGCTCGGCGAGCGTATAGAAGCGTTCTCGACCTCGTCGTGGCAACCTGCACGGCAGCGCTGGCGGCCGCGATGAGCGTCGTGCCACCTGACCGGAGACGGGTCGCAGGCGTCGTACCGAGCGCGCCGAGACCGTGTCCTGATGTGATCTGCACGGGTGAGTCACGTCGGCGTCAAAGGAGCAACGTGCGACCTGTCAGAGCTCGATCCCCGATCGCAGCTGCCTCTGCGCGTCCTGGGGAGGGACAAAAGTGTCGCCGCCGGAGACGACTCGACGCCGCTGAGATCGGAGATCAAGCTCTGACAGGTCGCACGTTGCTCCTTTGACGCCGACGTGACTCACCCGTGCAGATCACATCAGGACACGGTCTCGGCGCGCTCGGTACGACGCCTGCGACCCGTCTCCGGTCAGGTGGCACGACGCTCATCGCGGCCGCCAGCGCTGCCGTGCAGGTTGCCACGACGAGGTCGAGAACGCTTCTATACGCTCGCCGAGCCTTCCTTTCCATCCCATTAGGCAGCCGGGAACGGTGG